TTGGCAGCTAGAAAGTTTTCAATGGAATGGAGCACCAAATCCAATGACAGCCCTGTTTAGTCTCTAGTCACCTCTTGTGACTCAGGACACTGTGTTAATGTTTTTTGCTTCATATCAAGAATGGCAAGAACCAAAGGAAAAAGTCATCAAAGAGGACAGTGGAGCCTTTGCTTCTACCACAAGCAGCATGACAGAGGAGGCATTGGCTTTGATAAAGGCCCTAGAATGACACCACCTTGCTCTATGTGTCTGTTTCAACAAAACTCCCGTTTTCTTGTTCAAAAGGAAGTAAAGCACTTATTTCTCTTACCCGTGTGGGCTCCGGGACCCTATTATAGGGAAAACAAGAATAGACCCACTGCCTTCCAAAAAGCATGTCGTAATTGGCAGCTTCCTTCGAAGTCGGAGCGCATTTGCCTGAGAGGCAAGGAACCAGCAGTCTGCATACCAATGAGTCAGATCTGTAAAACGGATGCACACGCAACACTCAGGTTCTGGAACCTAGGTGTGACTAGAGGGTCTGGTCAGCTCACTGCACTCAGAGGAAAGGCAAGACGGACATATAACCATACTGCGACCGGTACCATCAGTACTGGAACTCTGCGCTGGCTGCTAAAGATGAAGACGGAGCATGCATGGGAATGCCCTGAGTGCTGATATGTAAATTCTTGACTCAACTCAACTCAGAATCAAAACAATGCATTTCTTGTTAACGACATTTTCTATCTATTGCACTACTTCAGTTTCCTTTGTTACTTTTATCTGATATATTATAGTTAATGCTTTAACTACATACAACAGGAAAATACATAGTTTTTAATATATATTTTCTGGGACTGAAAGAGTTGAGAAGATTTATTGTACGATGCTCCTCTCTTTGTGGTAATAAAATGAGATCTTCGATAGCAGAATTATTTAAATGCAAAACATAACAACCATCAGCTTTATTATCTTGAAGCATATGCCAGGTGAATAACAACATTTTTCAGCTAAATAAGACAAGAAATGATATGTACAGGAACAATCTGGCATACTGGGTCATCTATTGTGACTAAAAATGCTAGACTTTGCTCAAATATATATATATATATATATAATATGGAGTAGTTGCTTAGCTTTGTAGTCACAGATAAAGTTTTTCACATTTCATTCTGGTCAGCCAGATAACTGACGGATGTACTTTTGGTTAGATAACATGCTCCTGTGTGACTGGTGACAAGATTGATGTGTGACTGGCTAGCTGATTTGCTGATGTGTGACAGGTTAGATCAGTGGTTCTCAACCTTCCTAATGCCATGACTCTTTAATACAGTTCCTCGTATTGTGGCGACCCCCAAACATACAATTATTTTCAATGCTACTTCATAACTTCACTGAATTTGTGTTTTCCTATGGTTTAAGATGACCCATTTGAAAGGGTTGTTCGACCTAAAAACAGGGTCACGACGCATAGGTTGAGAACCGCTGGGTTAGAGGATTTGCTGATGTGTGATTGGCTAGAGGATTTGCTGCTGTGTGATTGGCTAGAGGATTTGCTAATGTGTGATTGGCTAGACGATTTGCTGATGTGTTGATGTGTTATATACATCAGACAGTCTTGTAGCCATTCTCACACTAGAGAGTAATTTAAGCAATCACATCAGAAAGTCTTCTAGCTAGTTACACATCAGCAAATCGTCTAGCCAATAACACATCAGCAAATCGTCTAGCCAATCACACATTAGCAAATCCTCTAGCCAATCACACATCAGCAAATCGTCTAGCCAATAACACATCAGCAAATCGTCTAGCCAATCACACATTAGCAAATCCTCTAGCCAATCACACATTAGCAAATCCTGGCTAACCGATTTGCTGATGTATGATTGTCTAGGCCACCATTTATGACCTTAAAGCTTTGTATCAATTCACCCATATCTGAGCATTATAAAATATATGTAGACAAAAACAAAGAAAATTTCTTATATCTGTATCAATTCACCCATATCTGAGCTAATACAGGATAAATTAGAAAACATATGTAGACAAAAACAAAGAAAATTTCTTATATCTGTATCAATTCACCCATATCTGAGCTAATACAGGATAAATTAGAAAACATATGTAGACAAAAACAAAGAACATTTCTTATATCTGCATCAATTCACCCATATCTGAGCTAATACAGGATAAATTAGAAAACATATGTAGACAAAAACAAAGAACATTTCTTATATCTGTATCAATTCACCCATATCTGAGCTAATACAGGATAAATTAGAAAACATATGTAGACAAAAACAAAGAAAATTTCTTATATCTGTATCAATTCACCCATATCTGAGCTAATACAGAATAAATTATAAAAACATATGTAGACACAAAACAAAGAAAAATTTCTTATATCTGTATCAATTCACCCATATCTGAGCTAATACAGGATAAATTAGAAAACATATGTAGACAAAAACAAAGAAAATTTCTTATATCTGTATCAATTCACCCATATCTGAGCTAATACAGGATAAATTAGAAAACATATGTAGACAAAAACAAAGAAAATTTCTTATATCTGTATCAATTCACCCATATCTGAGCCAATAGAGGATAAATTAGAAAACATGTGTATACAAAAACAAAGAAAACTACACATAAGTAAAATTTAAAACACTAGTAGAAAACAAACTTCAATCAATAACATTTCCTAATATTTCCAACAAAACAATTAAAGCCTGATTATAGCAACAACTGGTTGATTTGAGTTTGAGCTGTATATGAAACACACTTCTACTGTGAAGCTGACTTAAACAACAAATTCATGAGAAGGCATCAATAGCATTGCCACTCTTGTTAAAGACAAGTGGTAGCAGTCTCCATTTCCTAAGCTATTTGCTATGTTGTCCTAATTCTGTAACAATCATTCTATTATAGCAGATCTATCCATAGGCAACTTATCAAAAAACAAATAAAGTGTTTTTGCAACTGTCATACGTGTGACAGTACAAAAAATAAATTGTACTGGTTAAAAAAAAAAACATTACATGCACAATTCTTCTCTTTGCTGCCATTTGATATGATGTAAAACAATAATGGGAGCACACGAAGAATTTAGAACAGCAAATAATCATCACAGTCTGGTGAGAGTGATGCGGAGGGGAGTGACGAGGGGTTCTGGCCGATACCTGACACTCAGAGGAAAGGCCAGACAGATGTATAATCAGATTGCTACTGGCACCATTGGTATTGGAACTCTCCAGTGGCTGCTGAAGATGGCGATTGAGCACTTATGGGAATGCTCTGAGTCCTGTGATGTTGGTCATCTCAGCTCAACTTACAAAACAATACAATGAAGATTAAAACAATCAGGTTATGAAATTGTTTCTAAGGCTCATTAAAAAAACAAAAAAACATAGAGATCTCAGTTAACATCATCAGTGTATCAGGTATCCTTTACTTACCAGATCATTTCCTGGAACCTATTTTAGGCTGGGTTGACCTGAGATCTATGGTCATTTCTATGAAAATTTGTCTCAATTAGGATTAAAACTCAAGACCTTCAGGTTGCCAGACAAGCATTTAGCCACTAAAGGTTATTACATTTCCAAACTGCTGCTTACTCATAGTGTTGGAGACATTTCTATTTGCAGTGTTGAAGTTATCTCTGTTTAAAGTGCTGGAGTCATCTCGTTTTTGCAGTGTAGGAGTCATGTCTATTTGCAGTGTTGGGAGTCACCTCTTTTTGCAGTGTTGGGAGTCACCTCTATTTGCAGTGCTGGAGTCACCTCTATTTGCAGTGCTGAAGTCACCTCTATTTGCAGCGCTGGAGTCCCCTCTATTTGCAGTGTTGGAATCATTTCTATTTGCAATGCTGGCATCATCTCTACTTGCAATGCTGGAGTCATCTCGATTTGCAGTGTTGGAGTCATTTCTATAGCTTGTTGTGGGGGTGAGAGGGAGGGAGGGGGGGGGGGGGGGGGGAGAAACAATGTAACTCTTGATGCTCATATTGAGAGTATAGTAAAACAAATGAGTACAGTACCTCCTCATGTGGGTTCTGGGCCAACATTCTGGGGGGGGGGGGGGGGAATAAGAACACACTCACTGCCTCCCTAACAAGCATGCCATACAAGGTGATGTTTCCTTGGAAGTTGGAGTGCATCTGACTGAGAGGCAAAGAACCAATAGTCTGCATACAAATATGCCAGATTTGCACGCACAGTTCTGGAACAAGACTAGTCGAACAACCAGGACTGGTAAACGCTTAGAAAATAAAAGTACAGATTCAAACAAAACCAAACTGTACCTTGATAAATACCATTAACCCTTTCATCACAGAAACACTTTGGAAACCTATTTTAAGTGAATATAATTATGTCTTTTCCTCCTAAACACTGTGCAGGCAAAAACAGAACCAATGCCATTAATTCAGCTTCTCAGGGATGGGCTAATTCAAAAAATGTAAGTGAAGCAGCTTCTAATGGATTTGTAATTAACAAGAAAGCAGCCGTGTTTGTAACGTTTCCAGGCCAGAGGTTAAGAGTTCACATCTCTCATCAAAATGTTTGTCATACATCAGATAAATATCTTCTTATCTTCTATACTAGGGGCTGCGTTAGCGCAGTCGATAAGAAGCTCGCTTTCAAATCCAGGTGGGACTCGCTGCAGCCATGGTCGGTGTTCGAAACCGGGCGGCTCCCGGGGTTCACCCAGCCTCTAGGAAATGGGTACCATAGTGATACTCTGGGGTAAATGGAAGAACGTTGCTGTAGCAACAGAGTACGAGTGAACGGCGACACAGGCGGAAAATTCTTATCAGCTGTCCGTGCTGGTGGCAGAGCACTTATGGTTTATAACCGTGTGCAATGGCGCTGGTTCACATCTCCCGACTTTACCTTTACCTTCTAATAAGTAAACAAACATCCTCAGCTTTCATCTCCCCATACTACAGAACTATACAATTGCATTGTTATCAACATATTATACATTGAGCTCAGGACACTTTTAGCTAGGTTTCACCAACGTTAAACAGTTGATTCTTCCCGATAAGGAGGCGGGCCTTTCTTTTCTGAGGAATGTAATTCTAGTTCTTCTGTTTCTATAGCATCTCTATACTCTGTCAGTTCCTTCGATATTTTGATGCGGGTGTAGTTGGCTGCTAGAGTCACAAGGAAATGTATCTGAAATGTTCAATGAACATTACAAACTTGAATGGAAAAATGTTAGGAAGTCAATAAAGAGGTCACAAATCATTGTTTTTAAGAAAACCAAAGAGAATAACATGAAAACAGTTAATTTTTACACATACACTGTCCCTTTATTTTTAAACATAATTTTTACCTACACTGATGCACTTTTCCCATTGTTTTATCAGTCCTCCCAAACCTGCTGCAGAGAATGCGTGCTCTGTTTTCTAAACCACATTTTCACTTCACATTCAACTTCTGCATCATTTGCGAAATGTCTCCCGCCAAGGTGGGTTTTCAGTGGACAGAAAGGTGGAAATCACTAGGGGCTAAGTTGGGACTGTAAGGTGAATGTGCCAGAGGTTCTCAAAACAGATGGTTAATTTTCTTGTGAGTTAACTGAGCCGTATGTGGTCTGGCATTGTCATAAAGGAGCAGTGTCCCTCTAGTCAGCAGGCCTGGATGTTTTCTTTGAACTGCACCATGAAGCATCGATAGAACTTTACAGTATGAATCAGCATTCACATCTTCACCTTTAAAAACAAAAATTGGTTAAAAGCACTGCTGGATAATCCCAGGACACTGTCAGCATAACCTTCCCTGCAGATGGCATAACCTTCAATTTCTGTACACAAGGCACAGAAGGATGTTTCCATTGCATTGAAGCAGGCTTTAATTCAGGCGGGTAGTGATGCATTCATGATTCGTCCTCAGTAATAATCTTGTTCAGCATGTCTTCTTCATCTGAGTATTGACAAAGATGCTGCAAGGACAGGCCTAATTGGTTCATTTTGTGTTCTTCCGTCAATTGTCTGTGTAAGCACCTTGAGCACACTTTCTTAAATTTGAATCGACCATGCATTATGTTGTATGCTGAACCATGTAAGCATCCTATAGCAGCTGCAACAGTCAACTGTTATTCACCTGTCAGCTCTAATCATCTTCTCTACCCGCTGCATGGATGCATCTGAACAGGACGACCAGATCAGATTTCATCAACAATCGTAGCTTCACAGGATAATCATTTGTCAGCATAGAAAGGAATCATTTCCATATGAATGTCCTTTGCAGGCAGGTCTTTATGACATTTATGACTTACTTATTGACTTACCCTCCTACATGATGTTTGAAAAGTTACTATACATTTGATATGTATATGTTCAATAAGTAACAATACATCTACTATATTCAAGTAACTATACATATGATTTAAAAAAGTAACCATACATCTACTATTTGTGTTTTCAAAAAGTAACTACATCTACTCTCTGTGGTTTTAAAAAGTAACTTACATCTACTATCTACAAATGTAACTATGCATCTAAAATCTTTAGGTTAAAAAAGTAACTATAGATCAATTATCTATGGGTTCACAAAAGTAACTATACATCTATTATCTACAGGTTCAACAAGTAATTATAATCTGCATTTTAAAAAAAGTAACTATACACCTACTACTTTTAGGTTAGAAAGGTAATTTAAGCATATTAACTACACATTCAAAAAAGTAACTATACGATTACTATCTACAGATTAATCAATTAACTCACTACAATCTACGGTTCAAGAGATTACCATACCTCTACTATCTACAAGTTCCTAAAGTGAGTATACAACAAATATAAATAAATAAGATGAGACATTTTGCTATAAATTTTTTTTTAATACATACAGCATACGATTAAACAGCATTAAAAGTCTATAGTTAAGGACCAGCAAGGAATTTTAAATTATAATTTTGAGAGCATGCATCTTCCCTGTAGCAACATAGAGATGTCAGTTGTGGACTAGTTCCCAGTACTTGAGAAAGAGAATAGGGACTTTTGAGCTGAAATACTATAGAAAGATTCTCAGAATATCTTGGACAAAGAAGAGGAAAAATACTGACATCTAGAAAGATCTGAACATCAAGGAAGATTGGCTAATAAACAGCATCCTGTCTGGGAAGCTGAAATATTTTGGTAATATCAAGTGCCATGACGGATTAGAAAAAATAATAGCAGAAGGCATGGTACCAGGAAGGAGAAGCAGGGGCCGACCGACACGAAGATGGGCACAGGATATGACTCTTTGAGTGTGACAGTACACGAGGCGGGAGAGCTGGCGAGAGACCGAGTTTCTTTCAGGCAGAATGTGATGAGAGCGATGTTCTGCAAAGGACCTGCTACATGATGATGATGATGACAGCATACCAACAAAAAAAAAACATGTATTAACATGTGCACTGGTGTATAGTTACTTTCTGAACCTGTAGACTATAGGTATACAGCTACTTCTCAAACATTACAAATAAACTATGGATTAGTAAAGTTAATGCACACTCTGCAGTATGCAAAAACAGCTTTCCTCATTCTCCAGCTAGAATTCTACACAGAAATTAAACCGGATATCCTAAACTCAACATATACCTTGACTTGTAATGTCTGTGCTTATCATGCACATAAAAAAGAGAGGGAACAGCAACTTACCAAACCAAGAACAACTAGCGCCGTTCCTCCAAAAGACACACAGAACAATGGGCCTGCTTCTGCTACCTTCAGACACACAAAACATGAAAGGATTGTAATAGAGGCATCTGTAAGCTTTTGCAATAAAGCAACAAAGTACAAATATAACAGGATTCTGTCTATCATTTAAACTGCTAATATATTTCATCTATGAAGCCTTATTACAAACTTTTGATAACCGAGTCTTAAGAAGAAAATCTTTGGACCCATCAAAAATACAAATAGCTGAGAATGGACAGAGAGAAGCAACAATGAAATTCATATTGTTTAAATCACCACTGATTCCTGGAATCATGAGGGCTAATAGACTGCAATGGTTGAGCATATAGACAGAATGGCAGGCAACTGAAAGACAAAAACTGCACACACATGAGAACTGCTGAACTGGAGTAGACCAAGAAGATGATGGAGAGATAATGTCCAGGCAGACCTACAAACATTTGAAAAAGAAGGCCAGTCACAGAGATGAAAGGAGTCAGGGGATATCTGCAGCAAGGAACATCAAAGGCTCAGTTAGCCAAAAACAGACTTTAAAGTAGGAGCTACAAAAGTACATTTACTTTTCTAGTCAGTATGGGTTCGCATTTGATTATCCTTCATAAAAAAAGGTAGTAAACAATTTTCAAGAACTGCCTGAGAAAGAAAATAAGCAAAGATGGAAATTGTAAAGAAGTAGCCTTAATCATGCTTATTCATATTCTCATTCACCTCAGCACATACTGCAGACCTGCCCACTCTACCTGCAACTTCAAAAAGACACTTGGCCTCAAGAGCAAAGTGTGCAGAGCAAGCTATGGGGAACCATGCAGGACCTGCAGCTGACTTGCATTCATAGAGGCAACCCACCTGATGGTCTGATCTGAGCATACAAAACCGAACGCAAAGAAGATAAAGAAGAAGAAGATATTCTCATTGTCAAAATAACTGCCAAAAAAAACAATGGAAAAAAACTGTGAAGAATCAGCCATAATCATGCGTATCCATAATATGATTGTTAAAATCCTTGCCAAAATCTGACCAGAAGTGTTTTAAGCAAAGGATCTATTCTTAGGCCTGCTACATGACAAATAAGCATCATCATGTAGCTTCTTCGTCTTCACAGTATTCACCAGCATCAAATACCTTTCTGAAATGTTTGTGTATTCTAGACAAGGCAATAAGGTCTACTGTGTTCGTAAATTGTTGCTGTGATTGTTATTCCACATTTGCTTCGTTAAAATAAATTTCTGTAACCTATGGTGCCATTTCAATGGGTTGAAATGAATTCTGTCCGTATTCCATAGTCGTGGATTTCAAGCTGTACGATAGACATGGCCAATGAGACACCTTTTTATTGGGGGTGCCTAGTTGACCATGTATCTTAGTGCACTTGTATTCATGGCGAGGCGCAGATGCCGTTGGGAGGTGACAGGTTCAATTCCCGGCACGGTAACTATAGCTTTCGATTTTTTATGTTGTCTAGTGTGTTCTTCTATCTTTCTACTTCTTTCTATGAGTGCCGTTCACAATACTTTCTGTTACTTGATAAACTCATATGGAATGTTCTCGAAGTCCGTCTACTTCTGGACTTAAAGTCTTTTTCTAGTACTTAAATTGTTTAACCGTATGGCTTGCTTGTATGCAGACTGTTGGTTCTTCGCCACTCAGACAGATGTGCTTTGACTTCGGACAGAAAATCCTTAATTAGTCGCCTTTTATGACATGCTTGTTAAAGAGGCAGCAGGTCTACCCCCCCCCCCTTTTTTTTTCTGAAAAAAAAGGGGCCTCGGAACTCACATGGGGACATCATACTTGAAGAACATTGCTTTTACACTGAATGCCAGTCGCTTGCCAACATTCCTGGCTTGTGAACTTTCATATCCAAGGTATCTTTGATATTCTGTGCCTACCGCCATCATCCTGTTCAACCCCTGACTCATCTACCAGGAACCACACCCTACATTACTGCTCTCTCTAAACCATTATATTAATATTTGAAACAATATTTAGAATATCTCTCTCTTTCTCTCTCTCGTTGTACCCCACCAAGACATCACACAAGCAATAAACACCCGGCATCACAAAGTGCCACCATGTGGATGAAGATCACCTGTGGAGTGGTCCCAGAAACCCCTTTCAGCCGTAGGGCCATATTTATGGCCCGGCCATATTCAGGGCCCTTGACAAAAGCCAGGGTGGGGGCTTCAACCAACGAAAAATGTCATCCAACATGAGGACGATTATATACAGTAAGCGAACATCAATAGAATATCAGGAAAGGTTACTCTAATGTTTTGTGTACACATTTTGGTGCACAACTGTCGAATTTATTGCAAGCATCATTTCAGCCAGATCCGTGTGTGGGTTCCAGGGTCCCATTGTGGGGAGAACAAGAATAAACCCACTGCCTGCCCAAAACTATGTCGTAAAATTCAACTAATTGGGAGTTTCTTTCAAAGTCGGAGTACATCTGCCTTGAGAGGCAAGGAACCAACAGTCTGAATGCAAATTATTCAGACCTGTGAAACGGATGTGTATGCAACATTTAGATTCTGGAACAAGTCTAAAGTCTAGAGGTGGATAAATAACCAGAACTTTCTGCCAGAGTTTACAGCCAGTTAATGCCAAGAAGATAAGAAGATTTTCAGACAGGGAATTTTCTGATTTTGATTTGACTGATCATGAACACCAATGTTCAAAGCACAACAACTACAGGCCACAAAATGAAATTGTTTCAGTCAGATGTTTTTAATTCTGTTTATGATAATGAAAACTTGAATTTCTTGGGGTGAAGGTTAATATAGCCAAAGTATTCCAGTCTTTGAGAAACAACACTGTCTAACAAGCCAGTCCCCGAGGATGTTCATATCATGAAGAGTGGTGATATTTTCCTCTGTTATATGATACTCTGAGAATCTTCCACTAACATTTAAGATCAAAAGACCTGAATGAACATCACAAGAACAAACTTTACCTTGTTACACATAGAGCGAAGCTTGCTATAACCACATACATGATCTGACCCTGTCTCCATACTATACAAGCCTGTAAGAAAAAAACAATAGAATCATTCATGTGATCTGAAATAATGAAATACCTTAAATTTTCACAGTGCACTAATTGTAGTCGTATTTCTATTGCATTTTCTTCATCTATATATATAAAAATCAATGTTTGTGTTTGTTTATCACCTATAGACTCGGAAACTACTAAACTGAAATAGGTGGCAACATGTGTTATAAAAATATGTTCATTTTAGTTACATTTAATTAAAGCCACATTTGTAAATGCACATGCGCAGTAGTCGGAACGCACGACTTCCAACATTCGCAGGCGTGGTACAGCAAACCAGACTTTTTCTATATCTGTGCAGGCAATGATTGCGACATTAACCATACTAGACATGGTTTCTATTTTCTTGCTTTTCAAACAACATTTGATGAGTTAGAGAGTAGCTGGTGGATTTGGGGGGGGGGGGGGGGGGGGGGGAATAGGGGAGGGCCTCATCGAAGACTATCTCTATGTCTGCTCAGACAATGATTGCGACATTAACCATATGAGACACGTGCGATTTCTATTTTCTTTCTTTTCCATTTAGCCAAAATATGCCACAGCAATGTGTGGCCAGGCACAGCTAGTTTAAAATAAATATTGTTCAAAATTAGGTAAAAATGTTTCTGTATTTATGTTTACTGTATACATGTATAGTGTTTCATTCTGTTTGATTTGGAATACCCTTGTTTGATTCTGAATTGGGAACATCATTTGTTACTATCTGTCATTTTTATGTAGTGTGAAGACTGCAAATTATTGCTTGTATTTATTACTATTGTGGTGTCGCAGGGCCTTTGAGCCTGATTTAGAACCACGCAGTTAATGCTGTTGCCACCGACTGGGCAGGTGAGAATTTTATTTTTGCCCTCAACAGAAGCATTTCGCAACCTCACAGAGGATTTGAATCCGGGTTCCCTGGACAAAAGCTCTGTGTTTTTAACTATTTGGACAGCTGCTCATGCGCGCGCGTGTGTGTAAGTATGTCTGTATGCCCGTGTTTAATTCAGCTGCTCCTATGTATATAAGCCATGTTTAAATCCAACTTTTAGAAATGGCTGGTAAATTAAATATTTGAATGCTAAATTAGGAATTGACATCATAGCACTCGGGATACTTCCATAAGCCCTCTGTCCCTATCTTCAGCAGCAAGCAAAGAATTCCAGTTCTTAAGAAAACAGTCTGACTGACAGTCATCTTGCCTTTCCTTCTCCTCTTCCAACTCTCTCCATTACCATCTGAAGATGGTATTAAGCCCAGAGCATGCACTCCATAGCTCTGGCGATGATTATTTTTTTTTATTAAGTACTAAATCCATAAATATATGAAACATGATAGTCGATATAACCACTACCCACAAAACAGAAGGTGACTTCATGTAACCATGGGTAGCCAAACATAACTGTTTTATATAGATAAACTGGGTATTTGAGTTTTCCCTGTTGTAAGTAAGTAAAGGATCATTTTCCACATCTCTGGATGTAATGGGTATATAGGGCTAGATCTATATTTTACAGACCAACTGGCACTCAGTGGAATGATGTGGTCACTTAATGCTGGCCGCCTTTAGTTCCCAGGACTTTACCTGGTACCGATTTTAGGCTAGGTTAACCCTGGAGCCAATGTCATTATTGGAAAAAAAAAAGGTCTGGCTCCTTATTATATGGCCTCTCAAAAGTGGCTCATTTTAGTACCTAGGTATCAAACCTTCCAGATCCAGTCTTGAAGGGGAAATAACCAAATATTTAGTTTCCATAGGCGTCTCTGAATGGGTAGAGAGCATTCAAAATTTGCACTTCACCTCTCGCCCCTGGATCTATATGCATGATAAACTGGGACATAAATGCAACAAATAAGTGGACTCTGGCAATACATACATGAGGGGCTGTGTGGTTTCGAGGCATGACATCCGCTTCGAGGGCTGAAGGTCCCGGGTTCAGGCCCCTGTGGAAGCTGGGATATTTTTCACGTGCATTTTCAGTAATTTACCCTGGTCTCTGGGTAGTAAGATCGGACGCCCGTGTGTATTGTTGGGAGCGTAAAAATGGACACATTTTGAAAGTCAATAATAAGTGCTATTTAAAAATGTATTGACCCACATTTCTGTTGTTGAAAAATATAAATATTAATAATGGGAGTAATCAATAAATATGAATATTAAAAAAACCAGACCACAAAAAAAAAAAACAGAGACTGTTGGCGGCTTTGGCTGGCTAACAGCAGGTTGAACATGGGCAAACTTTTTTTATTATGGAAAGGGAAGCATTAAAGGTTATACACCCTCCATGCCTATACAACAACATGCACTAGGTGATTAATGATGTGACCCCGTGACCTCTATCACTGAAGCTTATGAAAAAATATTACGTCAAGCTGGTTTTAAAACAAAAAGCTTTTTTGTTCACAGGAAAATGCCTAAATACTATTTCAGCTAATATATTCATATCCTGACCTCCTAAACGTTTGGGCTGGGTGCAAACTCAGCACAAATTATGCGTGCCTCGTACATGTGTCCCTGTAGACAAGTCAGAAAAGTCACATTTACGAGAAATTGCATACAACTAGAAGTGTTGATTCTGTGGATTGTTGGGGTCAGAAGGTTTACACAAGCATGCTGTAAATTTGACTGAGGATTTGCTAACATCAAATACACTGGGCCAAAAGGTGTAGATACCAAAGTCGAGCTGTGAATTACAAAACAACGTGCCAACTGCTATCTCAAGGGTGAACACAGGCTAAGAAGAAGTATAATTTCATCTGTAATTACATTTAAAAAATTTTTAAACTCACCAAATCTGGTTAAGTTAAAGCAGTATTTCATATTGGTCAACTCCTCAGCGGACTGACTGTATATCTCATTTGTGCAGATGGCCGTCACAGCAACGTAGACTAGTACAGGAATCACGCAGACGGAAAACAGAGCCAGCCAGCCAATGGCCAGTAAATACGACAGGACCATAAACTGGCGGGGAGATATGAGAATGTAAAATGTGTCATTTTAGTGACAGTAAAACATGTTAAGGTAAAGGAAATGATCATTTGCATATCAGTGGTGCATTGTGCATATAGGGCCGCATTAGCGCAGTCGATAGGAGACTGGCTTTCAAATTCAGCTGCGACTTGCTGCAGCCCACGGCCGGTGTTCAAAACCGAGCGGTTCCTGGGGTTCACCCAGCCTGTAGGTAATGGGTACAAGAGTTTACAGTCTGGGGTAAATGAAGGAATGTTGCTGTAGCTACAGAGTTGCATGCAGACAGTTTCTTATCAACTTTCTGTACTGGTGGCAGAGCACTTATGGTTTATAACCATGTGCAATGACATTGGTTCACATCTCCCGACTTTTGTACGTGCACATAGTCAAAGTAAAAAATGACAGAATTTTTTTTTCCATCCTTGTGGCATTTTGGGCATATGGTGCTAGATTCATATTCATTTAAATATTTAAAAAACAATCGGCACTCAGTGGAAGAGGTGGTCAATTTACAAACCAATCGGCACTTAATGGTTGATGTGGTCAATTTATAAATCTATCCACACTCAACGGATGATTCGATCAATGTATAAACCAATTGGCATTCAACAGGTGATGTGGTCAATTTAAAAAACCAATCGGCACCCAACGGAGGATCTGGTCAACTTTATTCTGGCAACCCTTATTTTTCAGAATATTTCCTTATTTTACTTTCTGCATCAGAATTGGAACTCTTCGCTTGCAACTGAAGATGGGGACGGAGCACTTATGGTGAGTGTCCCGAGTGCTGCGATGTCGATTTTTAATTAGACATTCAACTTCTTCTTCTTCTTCACTTCCTCTTTTACCGCTGTGGGTGTCGAGGAAGATATAAGGTTCTGTTTCTAGCTCTTCTGGCTGCCTCGACCATAGGCACATCGTGCTGTTGTAGAGTTTCTCTGATGTTATCCTTCCATCTTGTTCTTGGTCTACCCCGTGCTCTACGTCCTTCTTCTCTTTCCATGTATGCTTTGTATGGTATGGTGTCACAAGGCATTCTCTCTAAGTGGGCAAACCATTTCACTTGCTGTCTTTGTATGTAATCCAGAATTGGTTCTGTGCCGACTTGTTCTCTTATGATCTCATTCCTGATCTTATCTCTTATGGTCACTCCTACAGCCCTTCTCAGACATCTCATTTCCGTGGTTACTAATTTTCTTTTATGGTTTGTTGTGAGTGACCATGTCTGGCACTGGTAGCCCAGAGTTGGAAGAAATATGCTTTGAATAAGATGTCTCTTTGTGCTGATTGTGATTGTCTTATGCTGTAAGAGGGGGGCTAGCTGTCCCAATACTTGGTTTGCTTTCCTGCATCTAATGTCAATTTCTTTATCCAATTTCCCATCTTCGGTAAATGTAGTTCCCAGATATTTAAACTCAGATGCCTGTTTAATGCCTTTGTATTTTATTGCTATGTTTAGATCTGTCTTCTTTTTTCCTATTGACATTACTTCTGTCTTTTCAGTGTTGATTCTCATATTATTTGTTTTTGCACTTATTTAAGGCTGGGTCAATTTGGCAGCCCAGGTCATTTTTTACAGGTGAGGTTTGAATCTATATTGCGCTGGACTGATTTTAAAACTGACCTTGGTTGTTCCTGCTTTTTTTTTAAGTATCCAGAAACCATGAGTTGTTAACCCTTTGGCTCGGTACTATGGATATCACAACTCTTCGGCCTTGATTCCATGATAGAATCTGGGATAAATATGGCTTTTCTGCCTACCCCTAGACGTGAACCAGGACCAAAAGGAGTTCGTCACCCGTTCGACGCACCGTCAGCTTTAACCAACTATGCTATTGAGCCGGGCATTCCTCCTCCCCCATTAAATGGGGAGTAAAGTTAGTGGCATGATGTTGACTACATCCACCATCAAGAGCTGATAGGGCTAAACAAATAAGGAGTCCAACACCATTGTTGTAGTGTGATAATTAGTCCCCACTGGGCTGGTAACTTCGTGAATCCACTGGCTTATTCAGCCCTGAGACAACACCGACTTGTAATAATATTGACTCAAGCCGCACTGACACCTCCTGGCTTGAGTCAACACTGCACCAAATATGGACTCAGGTCACCGGACATTCCAGTGAACTCATGAAAACACATTTTACTTGACATTGTCCCCAACAATGTTATAACCCTTCCTAATCCACTCGAATAAGCACGCAACAATTATATTTCCGATGTGCCACTACTTACTTAGTTACATGGCATGGACTATAAGAAGAAAAAACTTACAAATGCAGCAGTTATTCTTCCACCCATAATACATTTGGCTCCTGAGTATATATTACTCCTAGTGGCTCCAGTTGCCAAGAATCCAAAAATAAGTAGAATTATTGCAAACACCGCCATAATGGCTCCAATAACAATCAACATTTTCTGTAGAATTTCCAGCCTGAAATAAACAGAGACCACACATGCATTTAGAAATTACACAACAAAAAGAAATAGATAAAATCTTATCTAAAACATCATGAGTAATCATTTTGACATACCAGCTATCATTGGAGCTGCCATGTTTTAGTGGCCAGATGCTCACCTGCAGATATGAAGGTTGTTGGTTCAAATCTGCATGGCACTGATTTTTTTTCCATGCATGACTGGTCCTAGGTCGACCTTAAATGCGTATCAGGTAAAGCCCTGGGAAGTAAAGGTAGCCAGCGTGATGTTGACCACACAACTCATCGAGGGCCGACTGTTTAAAAAAAACATGAGTCTAACCACACACGCCTGATGCGCCACTAACGTGTTAAGGGACCTTGTCTTTCTGCTTACTTACAATCTATCATCATTTCATTTGCTGAATTGTCTAAATGTTTGTTTGCTTTCACTGGCTGTAAACCCCGGCAGAAAGACCTGGTTGCTCGTCCTTTTCTAGACTTGGGCTTTGTTCCAGGACCTGAGTTTTGCGTGTGTATCCGTTTTACAGATCTTGCTTTTTTGTGTGTAGACTGTTGGTTCCTTGCCTCTCAGGCGCCCTTTGACTTTGAAAGAAACCCCCAATTAAATTAGTCAACTTTTAACGACATGCTTGTTTGGGAGGCAGTGGGTCTATTCTTGTTTTCCCCACAATGGGGCCCCGGAACCCATAAGGGGAAATGTTCTAGTGTTTATTCATTACCTTTGGACAGTTACAATATTTATTACATACCTTGTTCACAGATGTGCTTGCAAGGCAGATATGGTCAAGGCCCTTTGGGACCAAGCAACGGAATCAGTAGAGAAACAAGATTATTATGGCCTGGAGAGAATTAGGCACCTGGGTGTAACCAGAGGGTCTGGCCGGCTCACTACACTCAGAGGAAAGGCAAGACTGACATATAACCAGATTGTGACCGGTACCATTAGTATTGGAACTCTGCGCTGGCTGCTGAAGATGAGTGCTGTGATATCAATTCTTGGCTCAACTCAACTCAGACATGTGCTTAACAGAAAATTTAATATTTGGGGAACCCTTGAGGTGATGGAAATAGTGGGATAAATAAAGTTACAAATGTTGTTAGGCATTCACAGAAGAAACGGACCCTTTTCCATGCCTTTGGATGTACTGTGCACATAGTGCTAAACCTCTATTTTATAGACCAATTGACATTTGGTAGGTGAGTTGGTCAACATCAAAATGATCACCTTTACTTTCATGACTTTACCTGGTACCCAAGTTAGGCTGGGTCAAGCTGGGAAACTAGGACATTTAAAAAAAAAGGCCTGGCTCAGTTCAGATCTGAACCCTTCAAATCTGCAGGCCAGTATCTAGCCGCTAAACCACAGTGGCTACTAGAGATAGTAGAAAACATCATTTACACACCCAAAAAAAAATGTTTACTATATAAGGATTAGACCCCGTCACCTTAAAATGACTATTTTTATGGTGTAAAACAAAACAAAAAATTTACTGATAGTAAGTTAATTGCGTATTCTTTACATGACATTGCAGAACCAACCCCAACTTTTTTTGGCTATTGTGGTTTTTCTAGGCAAATTTTACGTTCAGTAGTTTGCCATTGTTTTCTTGAACGGTCAGCGCTCTGTACAACTGTCGAAACCAACACAAGACAAATTGTCCGCAGCTGGGATCGAACCAGGCACCCTGGCATTATGAAGGGCGGTCGCAACGCCTGAGCCACAGACGCACTAATAGTAAAGAGCATTGTAAATTTAAGAACAATGAAATGTTATGTATCTTTATCCTTGCTGTATGGTGCAGAACCTCGACAATGAACAAGCAGCCAGAAAATCAAATTGAACCTCTGGATATACAGAAGAATATGTTATATTTCATGGGAAAGGGGGGGGGGGGAACCAAACACAGAGGTACTGGAGAGATTGCAAATGAAAAGAGAGTTATGGAAAGAAATAAGAAAGAGGCAACTGCAATATTTCTGTCATATTGAAGCATAACACTTGTAATTGAACTATCCTGGAGGGAAAAGTCAAAGGCGAGGGAGCAAAAGGTACACAATAATACAAGTGGGAAGACAGCATCAAGAGATGGATGAACAGCAGTCTGAAAAAGTGAAGTCAAAGGCAAGGGAGCAAAAGGTGCACAATAATACAAGTGGGAAGACAACATCAATAAATGGATGAACAACAGTCTAAGAAAGTGCAGCTAACAAGACAAGAAACAGAGAAAGTTGGAGATCCATTGCAGCCAACCTTCATTATGGAGGTCGCACCTGACTGAATGAAATACCTTTGCTTGCTGCTGAGTTGGTGGTCTTTTGAAACCCCTAAGATATAGGTTTTCTTCTTCATTTTGCATTCACTGGCTGTAAACTCCAGTAGAAAGTTCTGGTTGTTCATCCACTTCTCGACCCTATTCCTGTGCCTGAAACTGATTTTTGCGTGCACATTCATTTCACAGGGCCGACTTGATTTGCATGCAGACTGTTGGTGCCTTGCCTATCAGGCAGATGTACTCCGACTTCGAAGGAAGCTTCCACTTAGTCTACTCTTATGACATGCTTTTGGGCAGACAGTGTGTCTATTCTTGTTTTCCCCACAATGGGGCCCCAGAACCCACACTGGGAAGATATAGGTTTCAAAAATCCTGTTGGTTCCTGGGCCCATTTGGAGGGACGAGGGGGGTGGTGGTGGTGGAGGAGGATAGACCCACTGCCCCCTAACAAGCATGTCACAAGAGCCAACTAATTAGGGTTGTTTCCTTTAAAGTCGGGGGGTGCATATGTTTACGACGTGAGGAACCAACATTCTGTCTTCAAATTGGTCAGATCCAACTAACGGAATTGCATAAAAAAGAAGAGGTTTTAAAAACTGATCTGGCCCAAAACTGGGTACGTGAAATGTCCTTAGAAGTAAAGGCAGCTGGCGTCACCACCATCACACAGCCTATCTAGTGCAGACTGTCAGTCTTCCTAACAACAACAAAATGAGACAAGATCCCCATATCGCAGACTGTGGAGAGGAATGATTGCCTATGCCAGTCGGCAAGGCACTTGTTGATGATGATCATATATAAACATTAACACTACTCATAAGTGATTTTTTTTTTTTAATATCTGATTATATGAACACTGTCACCACTCATCAGCTGATTGTGTGTGTGACTGACCGATATTTGAACATCACCAAGACTCACCAGTTGACAGTGAAACCAAACAACTCCTTGAACACTCCATCAATGATAATCTGCAGAGACCTAAAAGAGGTACCACAAAAGGCCCCAGCTCCAGCTATAACCAACACTGCTGCCACCAAGGAAGCAAAAGGTGTGTGGCTCAAACACCTGAGACAACCTGCTGCCAAAATGAACAGAATCAATCAGAAAAATCATATAAGTAAAAAAGTAAAGAACCCTTTTCCACGCTTTAAGGCATATAGGGCATACAGGGCTAGACTTATATTTTTATAGACCAATCGGCACAAGATAGGTGATGTGGTCAGCATCACGCCGGCCGCCTTTACTTACCAGTACCCACTCAAGGCTGGGAGCCAAGGAGGACTGCAATACCGGGCCGACCCGTGACGAGAGCAAAAATCATATAACTTACATTAAAACATAAAAAAGGCTAATAAACTGCATCATGGGCCAGAGATGTGGTTTTAAAGAAAAATGTTTTCAACTCTTGGGCTGGCGAAACGAGTAATTATATTATAAAAACAATTATCATTTAAAGTCAGAAAGAGAAAGTAGAGAAAGACCATTTGGCTATTCTCCGAATAACGGTCCCATATTATCAAGGCCGAAAATTTACCCTAACAGGGCCTCAGTCACACGTAAATTGCGGACCTCTTTCTGGCGACTACACAGCATACAGCGGAAAAGCTTCCGCCGAGTTAAAGTCACTGCCCGAAAATATCTCCCGCGCTGCATCTCCTGCAGCTTCCTTCATTTTATCTGCTCGTGAGTCTCAGCCATCTAGTTTAGCACCACTCCACGGCGCCAGAGATACTCTCGGCGGTGGCGGTATAGTCGCCGGAAAGAAGTCTGCAATTTACATGTGACTGAAACCCTGTTAGGGTATATTTTCGGCCTTGATAATTTGGGACCGTTATTCGGAGGATAGCCGACCATTTTGTGGTCATGTTATTATCATAAGAAATTAAAATTGAACGTTTGATAATTGGAAAGGTTTATGTTAAAAGAGATAAAGGAAGGCACCACAAGAAGATTTTTAACAAGTTTTGTCATGCCATTGAGTCAAACATCTAAGACCTACAACAGATTGCAACGAACCGCCATGCACGGAGAGTCATGACCTCTGCCCTATGTGCCGCACTTGACACAAGAGGAAAGACTAACTAACTAACTAATTGAGTCATGGCACAAAATAAACTGACAGTACTTATACAATATACATGCCACTGTTAGGATTTTTGCAGTGGTTTACATTTTTTCGACGGATCAACATCATGGCACATGGGTGTACATCCATAAATGCTCAATTCTACTTCTAACTCAAGCCTGAGTCTGCTGAAGAATCTCAGCGCAGTGCACGTTTTATTTTTCTTTCTAAATTAGCAATATTTTTCTCCCTAGTAATTTTAAGTAAATGGTAAATTTGAAATAAGAAGCCAATATGAATATCTATCGGTTCGCACATCTTTTTTTTTTTTTTTAACGTCTGGCACAATTACAATTCTCTCTATTTCGATAAGTTAAGTGCATGTGTAGTAACAAACTGAATATAATTATTATTATTATAATCCTTTAACTACAATTTTCAAAAATAAAATCATTTAATGACTTTAAATATAATTTAAATTTTCTTTTTTAATGTGGGGAATTTCGTCTAAAAATTCAAAATCAAAGTACAAGGAAGAGGATAAGTTATGCCCTAAAAATATATTAATTAAAGCCGACAGCATTAATTTATTTTAAACTTACACAACACTTACACATTTTAACTTTTATAACAAAACGAAACCTTCAGAAACGGATTTGATCAATAAACATTTCATTTTAAACTGGATGAAACATAAAGAGTCCGGTCTGTCGGCCATAATCGTGCCAGATATTTCTACTTGAAAGCCAAATGCAGTTAGGAGACTGACAAAAATGTAGCAAAATAATATATTGGCGCTCACAAAATAATATATTCTTCTGCTGCTTCTTCGTCTTTTGCTTTTGTAACCCTCAATGGAGCTTAGGACCTGGAGCATTAAGACAGTCTGTAGTGACTACCTGCGTTTTTTTTTTTTCAAGAGTTAGGACACCTAATGGTGATCACGGGTACATTTTTGAAACCGCCCCCTTTCGTTTGGGATGAAGACACTGTGTTGTGAGCACCGGCGCCTTTCGTTTGGGATGAAGACACTGTGTCGTGAGCACTGGCGCCTTTTGTTTGGTGTTAAGGCAACGTGTGGTGAACACCGGCGCCTTTTTTTCGGGTTAAGACATATTATTGTGAACACCAGCGCCTTTTTTTTCGGGTTAAGACACTTGGTGCTGAGCACTGGTGCCTTTGTTCTGGTTAAGACACTTTGTGGTGAGCACAGGTGCCTTTTGTTTGGAGTGAAGACACTTTGTGGTGAGCACCGGCGCCTTTTGTTTAAGGTTAAGACTCTTTGTGGTGAACACCAGCGTCTTTTGTTTAGGATTAGGACACTGTGATGAACACCGGACCTTTCTTTTTTGGTCAAGACCCTTTATGGAGTGTACCGGCACATTTTATTCTTAGATTAAATATTTAATTTGCGTTTTTTTTTTTTTTTTAGAATTTGTGGAGAAAACCCCTTTTTTAAAAATATCATTAACTTTAAGAAGGCTGTTGATAGTTTACATAGAACATCACTATTGGGAATTTTGGAATCCTATAGCATACCAATTAAAATAATAAATATTACAAGGGGCAATGAATGAAGCTTCAGAGTGTGGAGTGCGAACAGACGATGGTCTCAGTCAGTGGCTCTCAACCTTCCTAATGCCGCGACCCTTTAATACAGTTCCCTCATGTTGTAGCGACCCTCAAAAAATTATTTTCCTTCATAACTTCAATAAATACGTGTTTTCCGATTGTCTTAGGCGACCTCTGTGAAAGTGTCGTTCGACCCAAACAAAGGGTCGCGATCGGCAGGTTGAGAACCTCTGGTCTAAGTGATTGGTTGGAAGTTGTTACTTGAGTTAACGGGAATGCATTTTTATCTCCCTTGTTATGTGGCATAACCAATGACTGGGTAATGGAAACAAATATATGTCGAAAACACCGCCATTGACTGGGTGGAGAACACACAGTTTGGAGATCTTGCCGATGAAGTTGTTCTGCTAAATAAAAACAGCAACGACAAGCAAAGGAAACAAAGATGATTTGGCAAATAAAGCATCACGGGTTGGGCTAAAAAAAAAAAGGTAACGACCCCCCCCCCCCCCCCATTAATATATTGAAGACACCAACAATAGATCAAGCAGATGTATCACTTCAGAAAAAAAAAAAATTTAAATTAACAGATCAATTTACATATTTTGGTAGTAATTTTGATAGTGAAGGAAACATGAAGAAGAAAATTGTGACGCGCATTGGCAGGGCATCACACCTTTCAATAGTTTGAACAAAAAAGAAACTCTGAGTGAGTGAGATACAACCTCGCCAGGACATCCACCAAGCGATAAACACCCGGTGACACAAAGTGTCACCATGCGGATGAGGGTCACCCAAGGAGAGTTTCCAGAAATCCCGTACAACTGTTAGGTTGTATTAGGGCCCCCGACTACAGCCTGGGTGGGGCCTCAAAATAAGGAGAAATTGCGTCCCATATTGAGACGACAGATAAAGTGAATGAAGAGGAAAATGAAACTCTAAATTGTTTAATATTGAAACCAAGTTACGCATTTTCAGTTTTAATGTTGTTTAAATTATACAATTTGCAAGTGAAATTTGGAGACCGCTGAGGACATGGAACGAAAGTTTAACGCATTTGAAAACAAATGTCTGAAGAAAATAAAATGGGATGAATTCGAAAGAAGTGAAGAAATTAGATAAATGACTGACTGACTGACTTTCTACCCCACCAGGACATCACACAAGCGATAAACACCCGATGACACAAAGTGCCACCATGTGGATGAGGATCGCCGTGGAGAGGTCCCAGAAACCGCGTTCAGACATCTGGCCATATTTATGGCCTGCCTATATTGCGGCCCCTGGCAAAAGCCAGGGTGGGGCTTCAAATAACAAAAAATTTCGTCCTAAAAAGGACGAAATTAAATGGTAACGATAGTTAATTATTAGATAAATGTCTGGGCAGCCGCTAGTATCAACAGTTATAAGACAGAGAAGATGGCACTACATTGGACACATACTGAGAAGAAAAGCAGATAATCACATAACATGCATTAAAATAAAGGGACTAAGGGAGCATAGGAAGCCTTCAAGAAACACCAAGTCAAACGTTGATGAGAGAGGCCAAAGCTGCTAGGCTAGATTCCATCCATGAAAATGAACTAATTGCACTGGATACAACAGAATGGAGGAATGGACAGCGAGCTCCATACGATATGTTTTGTCACAAAAGGATTAAAAACAAATTCCAATCTGGCAAAATGACGGGGAAATAACTCTAGAGCCAGATGTCCAGCTGAAACAAAAATGGCGTAAGCAGGCCAAACAAAGGTAAGTTTGCTGATGTATGTACGTGGGTGTGTTCATTTATAACTGTCGTTAGTTCATGTTAAGTATCAGAAACGATTAATTAACTTCATTAATTTAATTTGTTTTACAATAATTAAAATAATCTAATAATATGTGTGAAAAATCTTCATAAATCAAATGGAGTTTATGACTTTGTCATTGCGATCAATGGCTCACTCACAGCTGGCCCCAACAACTTACTCAAATTCAGTGGTCGTTGAGTTCAATTTCAGACAAGACACATGAAGTCATTAATTATTATCACAGTAGGCACCGAACCCCATCGCGTTTGCTTCATTATTTCTGTTGATTCTAAAGGAAATCGTGAGTTTGTTCAATCACATGATTAATTTAGTTGTTCTATGTCTAGCCTGTACGTTGTGTTGTCTGCTAGATAACCCATTTTTCTTTCTCTGTCAGTAGGTTACCAGTAGCTTTCTGACTTCGACCATGATAAAGTAAAAGTAATACTACAATAATGACTATATCGTTAGTTTATCCTCATTGAAATAAGCATAAGTCAACAGTTTTTCACATACATGAATAGGCACATCTTAAAATCAGCAGTTAGTTTTATGTATCTACAGTATTTTTCAAATATCAGTACTCTTTCTTGTTTCTTAAACGTATAGGTCAGTTCCTCTTCTACTTTCTCATCTTCCTGTTCTTTC